GTGGTCATAATATTTCTATGAGGCACTTTAAACACACACACACACACACACACACACATGCACCTACCTTCCTTTTGGTGCCGGTGTCTGGAAAACTTACCTCCTTATTGACTTTACCCATCACTCCTTTCTTCTTTGGGTAGAAACAGTTGGATTCTCCTTCTGTGGGGGCATACTTGAATAGCTTATTGGTTAGAAATTTTATTGTATTTATGTTAGGGATTTGCACTGAGAAGCAATTTACAGGTTGCTTCTCTGCCGCCCGGAGTCTATGATATTAAGAACATGTTAATAATATCGGCCCCTTCTCACAATTAAATGTCAGCATAGAGAAGGGATAGGGAGAAGGGAGTAGAGAGAGTGTTCCCCCTTCTGTCCCCTCCCTCCAGCCTCCTTGTCTGCACCTTCTCATAGGGCTAATGCTCCCAAAGAGGATCCGATGAAGAAATGTGGTCCTGTCCTGCCTACGCCCTGGGAGCATGCGCTGAAAGGAACTGTTATTACTGTGTGTTGTAGAATTCCTTGTGGCCAGGGCTTAGTCACTTAGGCTCAGGGAGCCCAATTTGCCTCCTGTGCAAAGCCCTGACTGCTGGGAGGGCTGTGTTCAGGCATTCCTGAAAGACAGCCCTCAGCCTGTCTGAGACCTCAGGGCAAGGAAAGCACAAACTGATGGCTTGCTAATAATGCACTCGGTGCTACACCCTCAGGACAGGAAGTTCTCCTGAGTGTCTGCCCTAATCCCCGGTGCCAGCCTCGAAGTGCATTCCCCTTGCCATTCCCTTGGGGGAAAGGACGGTGAGGATTTCCTGTGCGCAGAGGAGCCTGACCTCTGTGACCAGCCGCGCGCTCTCGCATTCACACTGTGGGGTCACCTCGTAAGCAGATTCGGGAGGCGGAGGATGATAGGTGCTGCGCTGCTTCCTGGTGTGCCAGTCCCAAGAAGAGGAAGCTCGGGGTGTCCCGTGGGACCTCAGTGTCCTCCCCGCAAGACTGTACTCCAACCCTTCCACCCTGGTCCATCTTCCTCCCCTGCTTACACAGCCGGGTGCTGGGTGGCATTCCGACTCTAGTCCCACTTCCGGCCTGACTCTAGTCCCACTTCCGGCCTGCCCCAGTCCCACTTCCGGCCTGCCCCCAAGCTATGTCAGTTTTGAACACTCTGGCTCTTGGCTCCCCTTGGTCTCCTTTCTCTGTTCTTACCTAGGTCCAGTTGCCTCCAAATCTCACTTGAGTAGCAAGATGGCGCCCACACCCGCCTTGGCCCTACAGCCCTTTCTTAAAACCCAGAACCACCCTCTAAAGCCAAGACTGCTTGAGCTTCTCCTCCCCCTCCTCCACCCCCAGCAGCTTTCTATTGTCCTTGTCACAAAGTCCTGCCTCCTGCCCACCCGCTCCTTGCTCTCTGTTCCTTAGCCACTCGGACACCCTCCTCCCCCGTTCCTTAAACGGTCTACTCTCCCTCCAGCTTCACTGCCTTGGAGCCTACTCTGGTCTCTCCCTGGCCGACTTGCGCCCATCCTTTCCTCGCCTGTCGCTGCTTATCTTTCAACTCATGGTTACTCAGTTGCAGTAAAACCTCCGTGTTTGGCACAGACACCACTCGGCAGCAGGCATTCCATCCACACCTGCATAATGAGTGTTTATGTCTGGGGTTCAGCGAGGCCTCCAGGGGCTTTCCCACCTTCTCCTCTCGGGAGTTTCTTGGAGTCCAGGCCCACTCTATTCGGGCATCATTACTCTGTGGTCCTTATCCAGGATCCCTCAACATTCAGAGCAGCATCCGACTGTATCACAGATGCTTGACCCGGGAGAGCCGTCAGGTTCTGCTGCAACCAGCGGCTCCTTGCCTCTGAGAGGCCAGGCATGTTCTAATCTTTGTAAATGGGATTATTCCCAAATAGCAGAAGGACTTCTGCTATTTATAAGGACCCTGAGGTAAAGACAAAACAGTCCTTTTGTGAAACAAATAGTTTGCAGTAAACAGCTGGTTGGTCTGTTTCGTGACCTAGTGGATCGCCGCTACTAAAAGAGCTTTGCCTCTGAGGACAGGTGACATTGACCGACTGGCTGTCTTCCTGCAAGCAGGCTTAGCAGCTTACTGTCCTCTGCACTCCCTTCTGAGTCCCGCAGTGAGGTAATGGCCATGTGGCAGAGCCCACAAGTACCCCATCACTGTCCCCAGCTCCCTCTGGAGCATGGTAGCTCACTCATTTTCCTCTGCATCCCTTTTGGGACACATCGCACCCCCAGCTCCAGCCTTCCAGGTATGGATGGTAATGTGACTGACACGGTGGCGTCTGGTGGAGAAGCTCCCCATATCTTCTCCGGGCCTTGTTACTGGCTTAGTGTGTGAGCTGGAGTATGACCTCTTCTCTCTCCCCAGCAGACATGGGTAGGGCTAGCTCTAGGGGGGTAGATCAAGAACTTAGAAAATTGTATCATGACTTAAATTCAGAGATCCCCAAATGGTTGGCTTCCCAGTGTAGGGTGTTTTGTTCAAAGCTTGGTGTCCTTTTAGTTTTTTTCTAATAATTTATTTATTATTATTTTTTGCACGTTGGTGTTCTGCCAGCATGAGTGTCTGTATGAGGGCATCAGATCCCCTGGAACTGGAGTTACAGGCAGATGTGAGCTGCCACGTGAGTGCTGGGAATTGAACCCTGATCCTCTGCAAGAGCAGCCGGTGCTCTTAACTGCTGAGCCTTTTTCTGAGGTGTGTCCTCACCTGTTTCGCGTCCCTTCTCTTGGCCTCGGTGTCCCCTCCTGCGGTCTCTCGTGGGTTGGCAAATGGTGTTGTTATCTCTCTGACCACACCTAAGGCAGACACCACAAGTAAACTCCAAGAATCGTTCTTAGTAAAGAACCCGTGCTCATCTGCGCAGACTTGCATCCTGGGACAAAAGCTGGTGGCTCACAAACCACCTGAGAAGGTCAGGCCCCAGAGGTCTGGACTGGGCTTCAGTCGGGGGATAGGTAGACACTTTACCCGGTATGCTGGGGACAGGTTGTTTAGATGGGTTCTCACATTTGGGACAATGGCGACCAAATCCGACTCAGAGCCCAAACGGAGCATTGACATTTATTTCTTTCCTGTGTACCCCAAAGTCGGTGGGAGCCTTTAACAGAAGCCTCTACCCTCTTGAGGAGTTTTCCTGGAGCTTGAGGTGAGAGATGCCTTGGGAGAAGGTTGGGCAAAGAGTGTGTGCTGAGGAGACAGAGGGCAGCTGGTCCCTGAGAGTCTCAGGACAGTATGGAAAGGTCGAGGGGCGCACCACGTGGGATGTATCTGAGTTCAGGTGTGAGGATTTGGGTGGGCTGTGCTGCAGGTTCTGTGGAATTGGGGGCTGGGTTTGAGGGCAGGACCTGCTGCCTTGCATGGTCAGAGGTCCCAAGGGGTCGGAGATGACCTGTTTGTGTCTTTGCACCTCCCCCTCACCCCCCATCACCTCTCCCCCCTCCCCCCATCACCCCCATCACCCTTCCCCCCATCAACCCCCATCACCCCTCCCCCAGTCATCCCCATAACCCCCCGTCAACCCCCGTCTTTTTTCTTTTTTCAACATTTTGCTTAGACAATTAATGAAGACATTGTATAGTCAAACAGGCCAGACCCCAAACGTGAGCAAATCCAAACCCATGCCCCCATCCCAAGCCTTTCCTAAGAGGTCAAGCGCCCCCGATTGTGAATTCTCGGCATCTCAAAGAGGCTCTTCCCTTGGTCCTGGTTGTGCCATTTAACAAACTCATTTGGGACAAGTGCAGAGGTGAAGGCTGGAGAAGAGAAACAACTGTCTTTTCTTCTTAAGTGTCCCCGGGACACCGTTAGGCTCGGAGGATTCTCACTAATCTAATCCCTGTCAGAAAAGGACCGAGAGTGAAGCATGGGCTTTAGGAGTCAAATCCCCTTCCTACACGCTCTGGGTTTGTGCAATCTCCTTCACTACTGTGGCTGCCTGCTGCCAAGCCCAGCTCCATCTCAGAGAGGGCTAGGGGATAAGGATTTCAGACTCCACTCTTGCAGATTTCATATTTAAATGTGCTTGACTCTCTGGTTTGACTTTTCATTGACCCTTAAAGAACTGGAGTATTTTAAGGAGGGGGGGGACAGATCTCATTATAGGAAATGAGAAAAACGGGGCAGAGTTTTAAAACTTTTAATGACTGAAACACGATGTTCCAAGTCACTATTGTATTGGGGTTGAAGTCACTGTTTGGTTACAAGTCTGTTAGGTCTAAACGGGGTTGATGACATCTGTTTAATTTTAGATGTCTGGAATACATTCTGAAAATAATGAAATCCAAATGTATGACCAAATTAGAGAACAATTTTATCTGTGACCGAGAAAGTTTTAAAATCAGAGCAAACATTACAACTGAACAAAGCTTTAAAAGACCCATCAAGCCTTTGGTCATCTTGCCTTGACTTTTCCCCAGTGGGTCTCCATGGTTGGGAGAACGTTCCTTGTGGTTTTTCTCCATGTGCCTCTGACATTATTATGTAATTTGAGGCCCATTTTCCTGTCCTTTCTCTGGGTGTATGCTCAGCGCTGTATGATCTACCCTAGAGAGACCACCATATTTGTCAAGAGAAGACCCTTTGCCAGGCAACTGTATTGATGGAGCAAAGGGCTCCAGGCACAGTACTTGAGGCCACTTGTCAGCCCTCTCATAATTGGCTCAACAACCCTGGGAAAGGTCCCAGGAAAACGTACAAGGGGCTGTTCTGGGTCAGGGGAGAAGTTAAAGGCATATGCTTGGCTGTCTTAGGCTGCCAGGGTCACCCTGGCTCTGTTTTCTCTGAACCTTGCTTTCCATGTATGTATGAGGAGGAGTTCGGGCATTTAAAGCACTGGGGTGCTGTGGGGTACTCCTTTCCCCTAGAAGGTTCTGTGGTGGTAGACCCTCCTGCTATTGGGCTATGCAAAGGGCTCCCCCCAAGTCCTAGACAGCCAGCTAAGGGTGATAGATGTCTCCTTTGCTGTCCCCATTCCAGGAAGCCATGAGAGAGTGCTGTCTGCGGATCGGCATGCTCATGTCTACTCCCCACTGCCAGAGTGGGCCCGGCGTCTAACCTTCTCCTCTGCCCATGGTGGACCTGCATACAGACATGGTAAGTGAATGAAGCCTGGGGTTTCCTGGATGCTTTGAAATCCTCCTGCCAGGGAAGGTGATTCTGCCCCTGATAGGTTCTCTCATCTACCAGGGATTTATCAACTCTTAGTATCTGGCCCTGTCTACTCCTCCAGTCCTCCTTGGGGAAGGAACCCCTTCTCTGTTGAGACCCCCATCAGGCTTAAACGCCTCCAGTGTGTGTATCCTAAACCACAGGCCCGTTGATCACTAGCCATGCATTCTGCTTGGCACTTTGAGTGTGCTCTTGGATGTTACAAGGTGAAAGGAGGCAGGTCAGCTGCTTGCCCTCAACTAATGACCAAGATGAGCCTCGCTGGGGGGGCGGGGCATGAACTGCATATCTGGGGGAGAGCTTAGACTCAGAGAGGCCTCTGCAGATCTAATGGGTGTAAAGGGGGGCGGGGCTGTGAGGTGCTGTTGATGGAAGGATGGATAACATTGATCTGCCCAGACCCTCTGAGTTGGTATCTGGGTCACATGTTCCCTCCTTAGGACCTGGGGTTGTAGTTATTGACCCCACAGTTGAGAGGTGTCGGTAGCTGTGTGCTGCATAAAGCAGAAAGGATGGTCTGATTATTGTGCCGTTTGACAGGTATATTCCCTCTCAGGGGACTCCAGAGGCCTTGTGGTCAAAGGCAGGACAGTAAGTTGAGGTCAAGGAAGGGGACAGTCACTTACTGAGGACCTGTGTCTCTACAGGGTTGTGGGATGGAGTTACTTGTTCACTTGAAGGTCATGGAGCCTGGGCTGGCGTGACATTGGCATTCAACATGTCTGCTGCTCACTGTGACGTGTGGTCATGGGGAAATTCTGCATGTCTCTGGGTCTCAGGAGCACCAGTTATAAACAGGAACCAGAGTGACCACTCTTCCTTCCTCCCTGGGCTGCCCGAATGCTGGAGCGGGGTGTAAGCAAGTCTGTAGGCAGGCGGGAAAGCACCAGGAGCGGGCTGGGCTGGCAGGTATGCTGTTGGCTCTAAGAAGGCCATTCCGGTCGTATTAACTTGTTTGTCTTGCACACCGTTCTGAGCTGGGTGTTTTCCTGTGACCCAGGTCCCAGCTGCAGGTGACCTGTCTATGGGAGTTGGTCCCTAACTTCTTAGCTGGTGATGGGTAGACCATGGTATCTGGGGCTAGGTCCACTTGATGGCACAGGGGCCTTTGCCAGGCACATGCTGGGCAAAGCTTGGTGCCACATTTGCTCTTGTTTTCCGGGACGCCGCCTTCTCTTGGGGCCCTGTGTCCACCACCCCCATGTCCAGATTGCGCTCTCTGTGCTGGAGTTGTGCCCACAACACCGGCTTTCAGTCATGCCCAGCCACCATCCCAGTGCTGCATGTCACAAGGGCATCATCACCTGCCTACTGCACAGGACGGTTCAGGGTGTGATGGCAGTGCTCATGGACTTTGACGTTGTAATGTCACCTTGTCGTGAACTTCGCTTTGCTCAGAGACAGGCAGAGGACCGGTGGTGGGGCTGTTTGCACCTGCTGTGGGATGGAACAGTTCTTCATGCTGTGGGATTGGAGCATTTCTTCGTGCTGTGAGATGGAGCATTTCTTCACTGAGATGCCAAGAGGCCCACCAGTGTTTTCCTGCCTCCTGGCTGAGGCATGGGGCTAATAACAGTATCTCTCTTAGAAAGTTTAATGAGTTGAGTGTGAAGAGTTAACTATACTGCTGGTACTATATACCTATGTATACTATGTAACTGCTGGCACATAGTAGGTGTTCAAGAAACAAAAGTTGCTGCTAATGGTGCAGTGATGACAATGACAAAGACAGTTATTGCTGGACATTCATTTGACCTGCCAAAACCTACCCTGCGATGGTCAGAACTGTAAGGCTGGGTGACTGGTTGTCTCTTCCTCTGCCATGAGTAACAAAAGTGACCCTTACCCCCTCCTCTTTTCATATTGCTTCTCAACTCTCCCACGAGCCCTTCCTCTCAGGCTGTAAGGTTATAGGCATTGGAAATTAATTTTTTAAATTATGTTCTCTGACCCTTTAAACTTTATTTCAAATCCCCCTCGCGCCTTAATGAAGCGCAGGCTATTTTGGGCACTTTGGAGAAGTGTGGCTGACAGCGTGCCCTTTTAAGTTACATGGAAGCTCACATGGCCCCAAATATGTATCTATATAATTAAGAATAAAAATCAGCATCCGCAAGGCAGGCTGTGTTAGTGAACATCACATTTAATAGAGGATTAGGAGGTGGAATTAAAGTCGCCCAAGGGTACTCTGAAAGACTTCAAACACCTTTTTGGAAAACAAATTAATGTGGTTTTCAGAGAGCATTTTCCAAAGACGATGGAGGGTTTTCCTCAGGCTTCCTTGCTTTCTTTTGAAATGTATTTTTAACACTTGTGTAAACAGTTTGGGTCCGTGGCACGGGGCTTCCTGGGCTCCCTTCATTAGCTGGTGTCTCTGGGAGAAGAATTCGGCTCATTATCTGGATGTTTTGATCTCCCTGCGGCGGCCACCGCTTCCTTCTTCCCTGCTTGCCTGCTGGTATGGGACCAGTTGGTTTGTGGCTCAGTGGCTTCCACATCTCCCTGCCAGTCCCCAGGCTTCCCAGAGTGAGCAGGCCCTCTCCTGATGCAGGCTGAGAAATGGGAAAACACACGCGGCCTCGGTTTCTCTACCTTCTGCCTTCTCAGGTGCGTGGGTGTGCATGAGGCCCCACGGCGCTCTGTTCCCCCATTTCTGCACATGTTCACAGACTGCCCTTGCAGGCTTTGGGGGTCTCTGCCAAACGGTGAGCGGACCTGAGATTCTGCAGGGGACACTCCACAAATGAAGTCCCGGCAGGCGATGTCCTTGGCGGAAGACAAGCAAGTCTTCATTGTGTGCAAGCCTTGTGGCAGGTGAGGGAGAGGGTGCATGTTCCCCTTGGGAGCCCCTGGGGTTATGCTTAGCCAGGAAGATCCATTTAGAGGTTTTGACCTTTCAAGGACATGGGGTAGAAACTCCAAATTATGCCTGTCAGGTTTGCCTTTTAAAGTTAATTCTTCCTGTGTAAAACGAGGGCAATAAATAATAATAACTAGCACTTATTAGGACTTACTGTGTTCCAGGCACCGCTTGAGGTGTTGATTTATTTTTTTCATAACTTTTAAGTATGAAGTCCCATTGTTGTACCCATTTCTCAGAAGGCAATACCAAGGCCTTGGGAGGTTAATTTAGGTAATGCAGCAAGCTAGAGATGAACAATGCCACCCGCACGTTTCTGGCACCTGCTGAGGCATTCTCAGGAGCTGGAATTAATTACCCCCTTGATCATCCCTGGGTCCTACCAGGAAGCCAGAATGGCCGGGCTTAACCCTGGCTGTGGTCATCCACTCCTTCAGATCCTGTCCGTCCAGCTTTGTGTTGCAGGCAGTCAGGAGGCATGCGTAAAGGTGGCACTCACTTCCTTTCTCAGTGAGGGTTGCTCCTGTGTGACAGTGGCAGGTGGCCTCTAGTCTGTGCTGATACTTGGGGTCCAGCAAGGGGGGCAAGTGGTTGGAGGCACGTCCCTTACCCCATGGGGCAAGCTGTTCCTGTTGCTACTGGAGACCGGGCAGGGGCTCAGGAAGCAGGGAGGGAGTGGTGTGGATCACTGGTCTGGGGGAGAAAACACAGAGGTGACTTGTCCCTGAGGGCCCTCCTTGCACACCTACAGAGGGGACTCCGGCCTTAGGCTACCAAACCCCAGTCACCAGCGTGCCTGTTAGTAGTGCAGGCTCCTGGAGAGAAAGGGCGTCTGTCCCCGGAGGGTCGGCCCTGGAGCGGGCACTGTGCTGAGAATGTTTGCATTCCCCACGAACAGTGCTTTTGGTTACGGTGTGGAAACAGAGGGGGGGTTGCCTGGCGTCGGTCACACAGCTGGGTCTGAGCAGAAGAACTGACACCCACTCCGCACCCTGCTGCCCAGGGAGGAAGAGCTGAGGCAGGGGGCTGGAAGGACTTGGGTGTGTGTGGTAGGCAGTTGAGAAGGGAGCGGATATCTGTGGAGGATGATAGGAAGTTGCAAGGCGAGTGAGTGATGGCAGGCCAGACCGTGTCCAGTGTGTCCAGGACCTCATCCAGACAAAAACAGGGGAGCGGGCAAACCAAAACAGGGCGAGGCGTTAGGGCACGCTTGCTTTTCCCCGTGTGATGCTAATGTACGCACCGAGGGCCGGCCTGAAGTCTTCTTGAAGTGAGAGGGTGTTGTGAACCATGTTGCAGCCTTCAGGTGGCCCCTCGTCTTGCTGCCCAGACCCTGGGATGCAGGCTGGGTTCTTCGCAGAGGGAAAGGAGGCAGGCGGTTGGGCAGTGTTGCCGAGGCGTGTCTAGTCTTCAGGGACAAGGCTGCAGGACAAAAGTAGTGAGGCTACCGTTGCCTCCTGGGCCAGGGCTCGCTGTGTTCGGCACTTTGATCTTTCTGTGTGTGATCTCTGAGAGTGTCTTTCTCAGAGAGACGGTTCTGGAAGCGAAGACCTTGGAGCTCCTGGCCTCCTTTCCCCTCTGAGGTCAAGCTGAACCAAGATGGGTTTCAGATGGGAGCACTTGGCTTCCTTTTGTGGGTCCAGTCCAAGAGTTAAAAACAACATATATTCCCCTAAGAAATGACCTTGGAATATTTAGTTGTAATTTTTTTTCCCTTGGAAAGAAATGCGGTTGGGAATTCAGGACAAAGCTGCACATCAGAGTCTGTTGGTCTGTACTTCCGGGACAGCTCTGGGACCCACAGAGAAGCAGCCTGGCCTTCCTGCTCTGTACCACATGGGCAGGCCCTGGCTAGTGCCTTGAGGGATGGGTTACGGGTGGCCCAGATCAGCGTGCTCAGCCTCTTGAGGCTCAGTCCCCAATGCTTCCGGGCCTCTGAAGCATGGCGAAGGGACTGTCCAAGAGCAGCTACATGGCTGCCATTGGCCTCTCTGCTCTCCGATTGTCATCATTCTGGCTCCATGGGCTCAGCTGATCCACACTGAGGACACCAGGAGTGACTGAA